TGCCAGCTCTAGCTATTTGCACATTCTCATATAGATGTCAAAGTATCTCATACACCCACATACGTCTTGCGCAACACTCAGCTGGCCAGCCCTGAGAAGCTTCCACACTTCGGCCATGAGGTCGTGTTCGTTGTCCAGATCGCTTTGTGCGGGGGCATTGGTATGGTCTCTGAATTTCGCATCCATGTCCAACTCAGAAGTCTGTGCGGAGATGCCAGCCCTGCGACTGAAGGACAGTAGTTGTGTATCACGATTTAGTATATGTACGTTCTCTGTATGAGACTGGGTGCTCAGTGTTGGTTGCGCAATGGATGATTGACCTCGCACATCTACAACACCACAAGTATGTGTACATGAAAACATACGTCGTTAACTTGTACAAAATATGTAGCTTTGTTGTGTAACATACGTAGTTTGCTTGTAATAGGTCTGGTTGCTTAGGCGCTGTCCTGCTGCCTGGGCTCTGGCCTGTTGTTCGTGCGCGGCATTGTCGCCACAGTGCTTCACGGTCCCCATCTCGCGATCGTAATCGCTGCAGTACAACTTCTCCAAGGCCTTTGCCACAATCTGTCGGCAACGAAAGGGGCGGGTGTATGAGCGATGCGTTTTACACAGATTTAATGGGAATAGAGTGAATATGTTTGTGCGAGAACCAACATACTCGTAGCCTGAATTCGAATGTATGTGCATGATGTGCATGTGTATAAGAATATATGTGCACGCATCGGTGACGGGCATCAGATACGTCACCAGATAACAAGTAGTAACTGTTTAAATACAAACAACGAGGACGACAGTCGAATACCAAACAGTCTCGCTGTTACGCGGGCAGTGCCCCCATGATCACGATATATCTCGGCTCCTGCTTACACTCCACCAAACAATCAATGCACCAAACAAGCCAGGGCTGATGAAAGTAGTAGCCCTTTCATTTGCCACAGATCTCGTCGAATGACGTATCAGAATCCTCGCACAATGGTGTAAAGGACAAAGGTATCGTCACACCCTACACTACACTCCCGTCGGATTGCACACGCTTTATACGCCATACATAGCTCCACCATACATGACCGCTCCTGTGTCTAAGGATACGCACCTGTAACTCCCTGAATTGTGCGTCAGAGTACCACATGTCCTTGTACGTCTGTAAGTCGCTGTAGAAATTTAGCGACTCCTCCTCTGCATCGTCCATGGCATCCGCTTGCTCGGATCGATCGCTGCTCAGGTCCATTCGGGTGATAGAAATTGGGTCACACATTTGAATTAATTGCCATTACGTGTGTAAAGTGATGTATTCACATTTCCGGATGAATTGATTTTTACATAAGAGAACAAATCCATTTCGTTTTGGTTAAAATCCTTCATTACACTTGAATGTTGCCCAAACTGCTCTCAATATGTCCCTAGACGTGTATACATATACGTGTACACACGCAAGTGTCAGTACATATATCTATATGCACGTTTGCATGTATATACGACACTTCCGTATAAAAGTAGCTCGTTTAAATATATCTGGGTGTGTATTCTGCTTGGTCATGTGTGCATACGCGACCCTCCCACAACGCCTAATCACATACCGCCACACTACGAAGTAGAACATGACACACCATCACACCATGCATCACCAAAGATATACAACTGGTAACCACGCCCAAACAATCCGATAGAGAGACTGGATGGCCGCAAATTCGCCAGACATATACTGTGAGCTATCCGACCAAGTACCACACATCGGCCGAATGGGAAGGCCATTCCATCTGTAGACCATACCTCAGGAGTTGATGCAGCAGAGCCCAAGTGGCGCGTTCAGTCTTCAGAGTCCGCAGCTCTATCTGCTTCCGTGATATGACTGGCAGGGTGTGTGTGCCTTTCTTTTGTTCGGCTTCGATATACCGATCGGCCACCCCCTGGAAGTTGCGCAACAGGTCTAGAGGGTCGCCGTTCTCGTTGGTGTACTCACTGAGTACCTCGAAGAACGCTAGGGATTCCAAATGTTCCATAAGTCAGGTGTTGACTATAAGTCGGGGTGTTTATGCAGCCAGCTTCTAGCTAACTTCCATGTGCAAACACATCGAGAAAAAATATCAAAGTCCAAGCACCAAGCTACAATTTATTTGCGTAAAGGTGGTGGCACTAGCGTGCTTTGGTAAAACCACAATACCTATACTGGAGTAGCCATTCTACGCTCAAGCACATCTATGCACTCGAAACAGACGTGCGGTACGGTGTTGTTGCTCAGGATACCTACCTTGATTTGTATCATCGTCGGTGCGATCTTCGGGTCTGAACGCATCTGCGAAGGGTGGCATGGGAACCAAAACATAAGCGAGAAATAGGCAACAATATCGTAATTTGTGCAGTCGTGTTGCAACCATTCGCAGACGAGAAGAAAAATCAGCTGGCGCTCTACTAAAGCTCAAACTTCAAACGAAAGTGGCTGCCCTTCAAAGATGAACCCACATTCAATCGCAAAATAAATAATAAAAGCATTCCGCCTACCGATTATATACAGCAATATCGATAAATAACTGCTGTTACGAAACACATACCGCTTATCAGACGCCTATATGTCTGAGCATACTTAGGACGCTCAGATTCATTGGTTGTTTCAGGCACAGTCTCGATATCAATCTTATTCACGCCCGTGTCACCTTCGAAAAGGTCCGCGTCGTTGGGATCATTCATTGATGCAGCCATGGCGACTGGTGATCAATACACGTCAATAAGTCGGAATACACAAAGTAGGTAATATCGTTAAATTTTACTGAATATCAAATACTTGGTAGTTACATA